TCACCATTTTGGCCCTCTTTCCCTATAGATCTATTTTTCACGTTTTGCTATTTTAGAGATCGAAAGAAGCAGAGAACAGAAACATCGACAAAAATATTAGGAGAAAGTTGAAGAAAATAGTAGAAAGGAAAAGAAAAAAGAAACGTGAAGTTTTCAGTTATGGGCAGGAAATTTCATCCATTCGTGTCAATTAGGTGGTTTATGGACTTCTGTTGCTCGTGAACTTTCGAAGTAATTAATGGGTTGAATGTTTTATGTAAATTTAAACTTGGTTTTTTTCGCTGTTCATGAGCTAGTTGATGAAGGAGTTTGTCACTCTTTGTGGGGATTTGAAAATTCTGCGTGGGCTGCAATAGCCTGTCACAAATGCCGGCAACCCAAAAGGGGATAAATTGTGTCTTTGAAAAATTTGTGTAATTTTTTAAATCAAAATAATGAATAATTACAAACAATTCCCCAAATAATTAAATATTAATAAAATAAATTGTGAAAAATTTAAAGTTAAGAGAATGGAAAGTTCAGATATAAGTATTTATAATGCACTTACGGCTTTAGTCGCGATGAAAGTACACCAACGTCTTTGGCTACTTTGTTAAGGGTTCAAACTGTCAATGCAATAATATTGTAACTATTCTCTCATTCCTTAATTTTTCACTGGTCAAAAAAATATATATATATAGATATATAAGTATTTATAATGGTTCAACATAATTTGTGTTTAATTAGTCCCCATCTTAAATTGATTGTTTAAGAGTTTATTTTAAATTCAAAAGTTAACTTTTGAACGTAAAAATACCTGTTTTCAATAGTTTTATTAGTACTATCTATCTTCAACAATTTAATTCTTTATTACAATTTCTCACAAAATCCAATCTTATACTACAATGATAATTATTTTAAGTCTAACAAAAAATATTAATTGAAACTGCTCTCTCACAACTGTAAATAAAAGAGATGAAATAACTTGGATCCACAAAACAAACGAATATGAAAAATTGAGCAAAGGATAATGATCAAGAGGAGCTTTAATCTTGACTCTCAAAAGGATAATTATACATGCACCCAAACAATCAACATCCATCTCAACATCCAAGGTTTATGAACAGTAAAATTACAAATTTACCCCTCCTCATTTTAGCCTTGGGTGTTGAGATGGGTGTTGAGATGAGTGTTTATTGTTTGGGTGTATGTATAATTGTCCCTCTCAAAAATTCGAATTACTCCTATGCGCTGTTGAACCTTCAAGAGCCTCTTTTTAGACTTTAAAACCGCTCAACTACAACTTCTAGCTGTGGAGCCGCAAGTTGGAAAGAATTGAATTTGTAAATCTTGCCTTTTAAACCTAAGGTCCAAACCTTCTGTGTAAGTTTTGAACCTTTTTTTAAAATTTTTTACTGTTGAATGCTGGTTGTTCACAAAAGAGCTGGCATATATTGCTTGGTGCTGGAACTTATGACATTAGTCTTTCAAACATGAAAAACGGGAAGATTAAAAGTTATGGAACATTTAGATGTGGTCTGTAATGATCAAAATCAAATTTTAAAAAAATTCTTGCACTAATTATTTTTCGGTGAAACCACCTCTCAAAAAAAAAAAAAAAAGAAGCAAAATAACCTAATATGTTATGCAGGAGTAGACAAATGATACTATCTGCACACTAAAACAAAAAACAACAATCTTTTTCTTTAGGATAATGATGTATTTACCCTGCCAACCGACACCCACGGTTACATCATTCGGTTCAAAAAATATAATATGAGTTAAATATGTTTGTATAGCATGAAAAACTCATCCCTGGCTTGTCTGGGCTATCTCCTTTGAAATCCCTAGTCTTGAAGGCAATTCAATTGGCCTTCCCCAACCTCCATTTCAATCCCTCCAAGCTCTACAGACTCGTCCCAATTTGGTGAAACCATTTCAATCGGCCTTCCTGGACTTCCATTTCTCCAAATCCAACCTCCATTTCTCCAAATCTGGGTTATCTCCTTCGAACTCCCTAGTCTTGAAGGCCAATTCAACCAGCCTTCCCAACCTCCATTTCTCCAAAACTGGGTTATCTCCTTCGAAATCCCTAATCTTGAAGGCCAATTCAATCGGCCTTCCTCGATCTCCATTTCTCCAAATTCAACCTCCATTTCTCCAAATCTGACCTCCATTTCTCCAAATAGTGCACATTTCAGCACTTGGGCGATTGATTTGGTGAAACCATGTCAATCGTCCTTCCTCGACCTCCATTTCAAATGAGATGGAAACCTGTATTGAAATGAAGAAAACGAAGACTGTGCATAAATGAGATGCAGGGATGTGTGGGTTGACAAATACCCAAATGAGCCTTTTCAGAGCCATACTTGGGTGAGATGTTGTATTTAGATAGTAGCCAGACAAAGGTACAGAGGATTCTTGTCTTTGTTGCAAAGATTTAAAGATTCGTGTTCTTGTTTCGTGCCTACCATCAGAACTTATCTCTCTCTGC